CATCTCTCCAACTCATTTTGTAAAGAGAAAGAAAATAAGAAGTAACACATAGAAAGGAATACATACATACATACATATATATATATATACACATATTTATATTTATTTATAAATGACAAAAATTTTTAAAAAAGCCTAAAATTTTTACATATTTTTTACTCTTACAATTTCAATTATAATTTTTTTATTTTTTAATTTTTTTAAAACTTTTTTGGATTTTTATGAAAATTTTAAGTTTTTTTTTTAGATTTTTTTTTAATTTTAAAGAATGCTTCAAAAATTTGAAACTATTTAATTTTTTGAAAAATTTTAAAAGTTTTAGATTTTTTTGTATTTTTTAATTTTTTAAGTTTTTTATTTTTTTAAACTTTAAGAAATTTTAATTTTTAAAAATTTTAATTTTTTTTGAATTTTTTTATTTTAAAAAAAGAATTTTGTAATTTTCAAAAAATTTCAAATTATGATAATTTTTATAATTTATAAAAAATATTTCATATTTTCAAATTTTTATAAATTTTACTTTTAAAAAATTTTTATAATTTTTCAAAATTTTTTAGAATTTTTAGAATTGTTTAGAATTTTTTGCATATTAAAAAAATTTCTTAATTTTTAAAAATTTTTAAATTAATTTTTTTATAAATTTTAAAATTTTGAGAAATATTTTTAAAATTTTTTCAGAATTTTTAAAAAAATTTTAGAATTATTTTGTTTTTTTTATAAGTTTTAAAAATTTTAAGAATTTTTAAAAATTTTGAAAGGGAATTTTGAATTTTTGTTAAAACTTTTTAATATTTTTGATTTTTTTAAAATTTTTAAAAGGTTTATATTTTTAAAACTTTTTTAAGAAAATTTTTAAAATTTTATTAAATTTTTTTAAACTTTTCTTTTAAATATGATTGGGGCATGATATGACATTTATGATATAACATTAATTGACTTTTTTTATATATATATATCATTATTTTATTGGATATTCATATTACGTTAATAAAATTGACCAACAACGTGAGTCAAATGTACCAATGTGATAATGATTTAAAAATTTAAGTATCAATATGACAAAAAAAATTTTTAGACACTAATGTAACCAAAGTTTTAAAGTTCAAGGATTAAAATATGTATTTAATTTTTTTTAAATGTTCATATTACGTCAATATAGTTAACTAATTATATTAGACAAAGGTGAGAACATGATAACGAAAATTTAGATATCAATGTGACAAAAAAAATTTTAGACACTAATGCGACCAACCTTATAAAATTCAAAAATTAAATATGTATTTAACCTTTTTTAATATATATTCATTAAAAATTTAAAATTTAAATGTGCATAAATAAATAATTTAATAAAAATATAAACAATAAAAATAATTAAAAAATATTCTAAAAAAGATCGATCAAAACTGATCAACGGCCGATGACAGTTCAATCCAATTCAGGCCCGATTTAGCAGTCCAGGCGCGATTTGGCAATACTTCAGGAGCGATTCAGGCGATTTAGGTTGGCTCGGGAGCGATTTGATCCGGTTTTTTGAGCGATTCAATCGGATTGCCCAATGGAGGTCAACAAAAGTTGAACCGGGTCGGGAGCGAGGACCTTGGATTAAAGTCGGGTCCACGCGAGAACCTTAGGTAATTTAAAATTTTTTTTCTTACTATAAAAGACAAGTTTTTTTTTTTTTTTAATTTCATTTAAAACCATTTTTCCAAGAAAAAAGAAGCTCTTCTTCTCCCGAACAAATCCAAAGGCCGTCCAGCTCAACTTAGAAACCGGCCGATGGCTACCGCGTTGACCGCCATCCTCCGACGATGTCCATCGGTCACCAGCGTCAGTTTGAACCCAAACTTTTTTCAGAATGTTCGCCTCGACCTCCTCGTCTCAGATCTAATGCCTAATCTTCCAAAAATGTCCCCTAAAAGCCTATATCTGCTTTGAAAGATTGGGCTAGGAACCCCCAAAATCCACTCTTTCCGTCGCTCAAAACCCTTCCTCTTTTGAGTATGTTTCTCACCTATCTCTAACCTATCTCTCCCCTCAAAATCCTGCCCCAAATCCACTTCAAAGACTCCAAAAGCGAAACCCCCTTTTTTTTTTTTTTTTGTGTTGAATTTTTGCGGTTCCCTCTTTGGGGATGGATTTGATTTTTTGGGTTTTTTGGTACTTTTTTCTGCGACTTCCTCTTAAAGGAATGTGATTTTTTTTGTTTTGTTATATTTTTTTAGTTTGAGTGGGTTTCGGTCGTTAGGTAGAATGGTTTTTTTGCTGTTTGGTGTTTTGAAATTGCTGGTGAAAGTGATATTCGGTGGGTTAAGGTGTTTGACAATGTTGGTGTTGGCAGAAGGTCTTGGCAGTGTTGTAGTGGGGTCGGTTTGGCCGAAAGTGGAGGGAGAAGTTTTTGGGAGAACTTTTTATTGAATTGGCCTCCTGTTACTCGATTTTTTGGCTTAGTTTTATAGGCTCTTTTGAAATCGTGATTTCATGGAAAACCCAACAAAGAAGATGGAAATCTAGACTGTAAAGGGGCGGGATATTTGCAGCTCAATTTCAACTGCAATGGTGGCTGGTCGCTGTTAGGTGGGTTGGCTGGGGTAGAGGAAGTGCAGGGTAGGGAGGCTGCCAAGGGTCAAGGAGGTGCAGGGTATGGCGCTATGGTGGCTCGCCCTCGGTGAGGCCTGGGTGCTGGCAGGGTGGCGACTCTGTGCTCTAGCTCCTGTCTTTTTTTCTCTTTTTTTTTTAATTTCTTTTAATTAATTAATTTTTAATTACACTTATTAATTAATTCTAACTAAAGGACAATGGGCCTTAAATGGATTTTGGGCTTTCAAACCCAATTGGTTTGGACATTATGCTTGACCTGGACACCTCTAGTTTGAAGAAAAGATATATAAAGATAAACAAATTTTTAATATAGGGAGAGAATAGTATTCTTTCTTTTCCTCTCCATTATCTTTCCTCTACCATACCAAAAGTAGTGTTAAGATTCTTATAGTTAATGTCCCCATAACTTGGAACTAACGTGCATCTACTTCCAAATTCTAAAGAGTTAGGCCTCAAAAAGAAACATATATATATATATATATATATATTCCGAAGTCAAGGAAATCCTTTTTCGAGGGTGGTGAATTTGTAGACGAAAAGCATTTCAATGGTGTAAATGGTTGCAAAATTTCAAGAGTCTGTGTACAATGGGAATCATCATTATTCAGGCACCAAATCCCTCTGATATATAGCGATCAAAATTGTCAACATATATCCAATTTGGGCAAAGGGCTTCAATTTTACATATGAAATCTTTTCAACACCTATAGTTGTAGTCTATAAAGTATATTACCACTGCTATGTCTTGTCTAGGTTTACCATGGAAACCTATCAATTTATGGTTTAATATAAGAAATTAAATGCTTTGCCACATGCCAAACACACATTTCACATGCGATTGAGTTCATTTGTTTTTGTTCTCTATATTTATTTATTTATTATTTTTTGTGAATCCAATTGAAATACTATATTGTTTAGTAGACATGAAAATGAAGGGTATCGGCCAAAACAACAGTGGAAATGGAAAAGCTGCCCATGCAACTTACAGGGTCAGTCATCAAACAATGGAAGGAAACCCATTGGCTTGGCCATTACTGTCTGCCAGATTTTGGTAGCTTTGAAGAGGTCGGCACATAAGGATCCAACATTGGTGCGACACTAGTTTCATTCACTTCAAATAAACTAATTAGGACGTCTCTCGTTTTCATCCTCCCATACTTCTATTACGTACGTACACTGTTATACAGTGATCTTATATAAAATTTTAATCCCTAAATTGTACTATTAGGAACAATTAGATTTTAGACATATCTATGACATCATTTCTATATATATGTTGATTTTTAAATTTCACAAACAGTATTGAAAATAATAAATAAAAATTATATAAAGGTGTTACTCCAAGTCAGCACGTCTCTTTCATTAAAATCATATTACATAATCAAATTATTGACAGAAATTCAATAATTTATTACATATTTCATGTGATAATTAAATGATAAATATATTATAATAGACTTATTGTATAATAAATAATTAATTTTTTTCAATTATATAATTACTTGAAAAATGCTCGAGTAGATATATATATATATATATATATATATTTAAAGGAAACAAAAAGCCCCTATAAGACTCAAATGTAATACCATATATCCACTGTCAAAACAAAATGAATTTTATTAAACTAATTAATGCCTTGTTGGTATGATATTATATATCAGCTATTATGATTTACATACTAGGATCAGTCATGTAAGTTACATCAAGCAACATCATACTCACAAAGAAAAGAGTAACTTGGGAAACCTATATTTATAATGGTACTGAGAAAATGATGGGCACTTCCAAGAGATAAGGCATCCTCAAGATGAGATTTTTGTTTTCCAAGTGGAGAAAATAGAAATTAGGAATACTTGGCCTCGTTGCATTGCATATTTGATCAAAGCTTCACATCGTTGTAACCACTAAAGCAAATGCTTTTGACATACCCATTTTATGTCTAAATGCACTGAGTTGCAATGATAACAGTGGTTGTATGAGTCAGGACTGTGTGGTGATGAAGATAAGTCACCCCAAAATGAACTATTAATAATTATAAAAAGAATATATATATATATATATACATATATATATGAAACAGTCACACAATGGACCAACACTATTTTCATCCAAACAATTGCATAAATCCTATGCTAAATTATTTTCTGATTATAAAAAAACTAGAAAAGAAAAACCCACTAGGGTTTTTTTCATTTTTTAATGATTTTCTCTCTAGCATCAGTATTCTTTTCTATTAAAAAAACTTTTGGTGATCAACTTCCAAAAAATAAAATGTAAAAGAAGTTCAAGAAGATTTCTACCTTGGCTGAACATTTCTTAAGGCTTTCATCGGTGGCCCAAATCCCTATTCATATGCCTATTACATTATTGGATATATCACCTGAACATGGGCCCAGTCAGGGAGCAAAATCAAAGAAGCCTAAACTGCCACGTGTTCCTCTTTTTCGTTCTAAATAAAATGTAGAGTTAGAAAAAAAAAGAGAGAATTTTACATGAATATAAAAAAATTGATCCCACTCTATAAATACTACTCCCATTCCTCGTTATCCAAACACCCACTTTGCAATTCGAAAACAAAAAAGTCTCATAAATTCTCATGGCAGATTTCACATCAGACTCGCAAAACTTTAAACAATCATTTTCTTTCTTGGATATTGATCCTACCATGGAATCACTTACCCAATTTACTGAGCTAAACCAAAGTGTCGTAGACAATTCATCCTTGAATTACCAAAGCTTCTTGCCTTTCTCCGGTGACAACTTCTTCAGTGGTCAAGCACCTGAAATTCTACAAAACTGGGGAGATAACTTGCCAGGTTTTATCCATCATAGCAACCACAGTTCAGTATCAGTCGCTCAGCCCATTGTCACAGCCAGAACTGAATTCCATGAAAGCAAGAAAAGAAAAGCACTGGATGTATTAGAAAGTAGTTCTGGGAACTCATCATGTCCTCGGGTATCTGAAAGTGGAATCAAGAGAAGAAATGTAAGTATATATTATGTTCAAAGCTTTTTTTTTTTCCTTTCCAATTCTTTCCTTTTCTTTGTCTTTTATTTTTCCTATTTCAAATTTTTGGTTTTGGTTTTATTGTTATGCAGAATTCAGGAAGAGGGAAAAGAACAAAAAGTAATGAAAAAGAAGAGAAACCAAAAGAAGTGGTTCATGTCAGAGCCAGACGAGGTCAAGCTACAGATAGTCACAGTTTGGCAGAAAGGGTACTTAGAACTAATTTCCTTTCTCAAGAAATTGGAATTGGTTCATTTTTTATATATATATATAATCTATATATATTTAATTGATTTAGCTATTCCAAACTATTGGAAATGATGATTTTCTGTCATTCAGGTTAGGAGAGGGAAAATAAATGAGAGACTAAGATGCTTGCAAGATATTGTCCCTGGATGCTACAAGGTAAATGCTTTTCTTTCTTCAAGGAGTAGGAATTATTCCCAAACTCTGTTCCCTCAATTACATGATGTAAAAGTTTTCACTTACATTTGCAAATGCATTGATTATCTGCAGACAATGGGTATGGCTGTAATGTTAGATGAGATAATCAATTATGTCCAGTCCTTGCAGAATCAGGTTGAGGTGAGTTGAAAGAAAAATTATTCTTTCACCTTTTCCCTCTTTCAACCAGTGATTCATTCCAATAGACAATATAATAATTATATATATATATATATATATATGCATGCATGCATGCATGTATGTATGTATATTTTGCATGTATGCCAGTTTGTAATGTTGTAACACAAATTCAGTGACCGAATTCAAATTTATTTATTTTTATTGTTTTTGAAATGTTGCAGTTTCTTTCAATGAAGCTGACGGCAGCAAGCACATATTATGACTTCAACTCAGAGTCAGATGCCATGGAAAGAATGCAGGTGCTTTCCTAGAAAGAGGGCATTTTTTTTTTTTATAAAGTTCATAACCTATAATTCCTTTATATGAATTGGATCCCACAAAGTTTTTGGTTTGCAATGCATCAATCAAATTTCAGAGGGAAAAAGCAAAGGAGGCAAAAGAGTTGGAAAGATTGATGAGAGAAGGATATGTTGGAGGGCTAGCTTGCTTCCACTCATCATCAACATGGTCCTCTTTGACTTACAACACATGATGAAGATGCTCTATTATTCCAACACTTTCCAAGTTTATAAAGTATCAGAAAAATGTACCCCACTACTTCATGCTGTACCTAGCATAAGTGAAAAATTATACTTGTAATTTCTTTCCAGTCACAAAGCATTAATGGAATTCTATTCAATATTTACACAAGAAATTAGATTTCAAGTACATTAATTTGTTTCTTCTTATGCTTTCTTCATGTCTCTTTGGTCATTTTTCTTTGATTTAAGCTCACAAAGATCAATCATGAGTACTGCTAAATCCGGGCAAATTTTCTCAGTGGAGCCATATCATGCAAAACTTAATTAAATATTAACCGACGTGATTAGACTTCAGTGCTGTGTAATTAGAACAAGGATGATCAAAATGACAGCATAAGAGCCAAAAAACATTTGGACTTTGAGACATTAATCTTAGTCAGTTCCTTCCTGAACAGACTTCACTTGCATTTAAGACATTAGTTAATGACAAAATCAGGAAAAATCCATTGTTAATTGATTAAGAAATGATACGAAAAAACCCGAAAAATGAAAAAAAAAAAAGAACCAGACCTGAGTTTTCAAGCTTTTATAAAACATAAAACTGGAGGCACTGTGGTTCTACCTATTTGAATAACTCATAGAATTACTTAGCCTTTATAAAATCCTCATCAACCTCTTTTCTGAATTTGGCATATGTTGTTTTTACATGTCCATGGATATAACATATAAATATTGCCACCAAGGATAAATTACTATTTTAATCTTCAGACTTCATAGCCCCACGCTGTCATTTAAAAAGCTGTAGCAGAGACATATAACCTTGACCATTTTTAAGAAGAAACAACAGAAAGAAGCATCACATGTTGTTTGCCTTTAACTTTTGATGATGGAATTTCATCTCAACGTGTTCATCAACCATACACGAGTTCATTTTCTTTCTGAAATCTTTTGATTGGTACCCAAACTGCAATTATTTAAATGGATAAATATTTAGAATTTTTATGTATATCTACCATAGGTAAAGAACAAGTTGGTTATCATTGTGCAGGATCAACTAGAACAGCTAGCTAGCTCCATGAATTGTAGGACCAAAAACAGTAACAAAATAATCAGGAACAAATTATAAAAATCGTACTTGTCCATAAAAATTCAGAAACTGCTAATCCTTTTTGGCAACAACATTTGAGAGGTTGTCCCATGAAACTATGAGATTTTGATGCAAATACGTGTTACAATTAAAGAGGCAACAAATTCTTGTAGTAGCAAAGGCCAATGAAGCCATGGCCAACTCGTCGAATACACGTGGAAAAAAACTGAAAATAGAAGGATACATAAAATCTAATGGATTTTGCCAAGTCATTAAATGAATGATTGGAGGAGAGAAGTTGATGGGAGAGGGGAACAAATTTTAGTTTTTTTTATTTCTAGTTATAATTTGTTTTATAGCAGTGCAGCATGAAAGAGAAGGGGGGCAGATGCAGTGCATACAAGGAATTGGGGGATGCAAGAGTAGGAGGACAGCTTGAAATGGGCCAGACCATGCCCACAAGAGGATGGGCAATGTGGGTTCTCCAACATGATAAGAGCTTATGAACCTTTCGGAGCCACTTTTGTTCATGTTTCCCAATCAAAATCTTTCTTCCTTGACCCCCTTTTGACCAAGTCTTTTGCTTGTCTCTTGGAGCATGCATGAACTAGGAGGGGAGGGAAGGGCCTCAAATTCGAGGGTCCCATAGTAACTAAAAGGATAGATTTCATGTAATCCCAATTTAGATTTAGGGTCACATATTAGGTGAAGTTGGGGAGATTAGGGTGACTAATGGGGGGGTGGGGGGGCAAGTTCAAGGATCCAAGTACAGTGGGCTCAAATATTGGGAAATTTCCTTACAAATTGGAGGAGGTACTTTGTTAGCTATATAATCAGGCTTGTTATTAAATCTTCTTCCATGCTTCCATATCTTTGTTTCAAGCATTCAAAAATTAAAGCTCAATCCCTAAAAGTTGATCCCAAAGTAGCTTTTTGTATCATCTCAACATTGAAACAATTTTAGGGGGGGAATTAAGGATTTCGGTGGGGGAGGACAAAAAACGATAAGCCCACAAACGCTTTGTGTCATAAAGGAATAAAATATCATTAGTAAAAGAAAAAAGAAGTAAAGATCTGCAAATCCAATTATAAAATTTCTCAATCATAAAGACTGTAGAATTGGATAGATAATGCTACAATTAAAATCATGCACTTAATATGGTTTTAAAGTCTCGATGGTAAGAAGAAGATTTTGAAATATGCCATATATATATATATATATATGTCGAGAATTAGTTTATTTGCAACTGAAGTTCTAACTAACATATAATATGATATTAAAAAGAAGAAAAAATCTCTGCTAAAGAACTTTGTAACTAGATTGTAGTGTGAAAATGCTGACTTTTAAGTTATAGCTAAAGTGAAAGATACAGAGATGTTTTAACAAAACATGTTCCTGAATAGACAATTGGATATGAGCGGTTGGTGGTAGATAATTATCCTTATAATGGGAATTAAGTGAAGGAAATGTGTTTATCTAAGTAATTATTTGTTAGTCATAGAGTGTAGTCTTGACCATCCAAATCCAATCCAACAAGATATATAGTGAGTTCCCATCTTTTTTGACTGATCATGTGAGGTCTGTTCTTCAAATGTAACCTTATGCCCCTACCAAAGAATTAGACAAAAGAAAGAAAACAAAATGATTTACAAAAGGATTTGAATTTGTTTCTTTGCTGGAATATATACATATAAATATTTCCAAGGGAGATCTGTTAATATAATAGGTTTCTGTCCCTAGCACATGCCCTCAGACTTTTGTTTTAAAATTTAATTATGAGGACAAATTAATTTTTTAAATTCAAATTTCTTATCTGTTAATACATACGTTAATAACTATTTAACAACTACTAACTAGGGACATTAAGAGAAAGGCTAGAAATCAATCAAAAGACGTAATATCTTAACTTTCTTAAATAGTTTTGAGCAGTGATGAAATTAAAAATCCCTCTATTTTAGAGTTTATTTTGATGAATGATAAAATCAATTTCAGTAAGATTAAAAAAAATTCTTAACTTTAATGAAAACTAAAGGTCACGAAAACTCGCCGGTGTTATCCAAACACCAAAATGACATGATTTAAATAAAAAAAGAGATGCAAAATGCTCCTTAAAGGCAGGAATCATAGATCCAAATGAACCGTAATCTTTCAAATGTTAAATAAATTGATCATTAATTACATGAATTCTAACTTTGTTTTTGTGTTCTGAAGAGAATATGTTGAAGGTGGGCTCTCTCACTTCTTATGCGTGACGCACTGACAAGGCCTGCTCGATTGAGCTGAGACGGTCTAGATTATAGTAGACGTGGTGGATAAGGCCCAAAAGAGCTGGCAGATAGCTTTCTCCCAAATCTAGAAAACCCAAACTTGTAATAATCAGTTTTAACTTAATAGTAGTATTTCACTTGAAAAAAACTTACTTTCGAGTTTCATTTTTGTAGGATAAATTTATAATAAAAATAGGATAAAATATTAAATATATTGATGGTGAAATTTTTACATTAATAGAGTACACAAATTTTTAGATTATATTCAACAAAATAAAATTTTTTTTAAAAATAATATACATGTCAATTTCTTAACTTTGCTTATAAAATTAAAAAACTCAATTACAATAAATTAAATAATTTCTTTAATAATAATAAAAATAAATAATCATAAATATTTATTTTTTACAAAGTTTTAAATTTTATAAATTAAATTAAAAAACTATTACATATTTATTTTCTTTTAAATTATTTTTTTAATATACCTTAAATGACTTTTACAATTAAATGATTTTGCTCCGAGTATCTTCAATATAAAATGCTCTACTTACTATAATTTGATAAAGAATATCAAACAGCTGGCTTAACTTAACATTCTATATTTACAAACATAAAATAACCTTAAAATCATCTTAAAATGAAATCAGCGTAAATCATTATCTTAATCAAATATGACAACTTGTATGTCAAATGGGTACAAAATTTTGTTTAAAAGTTATTGAAAACTAAAATATTAGGCTAACTTTTTTTTAAAATTTTTCCAAAATTCATTTGACTTTTTGTTTGAATTTGTTATAACTAATTGTCAAGTCAACGACATTAATCACCATATTCATTAAGTCATAATATATTTGATTCCCACTTCACTTGTTCAAGGTGACTAAGGCTAGGGGTGAGAATGAATAGGATATGAACAAATAAGTATGTGTTTATGGTTTATTTATTTATTTTTAAAGTTGGTTAGACTCGGTTCATATTTAGTAAGAAAATTGTTTATTATATTCGAGTTTAATTTGTTTAAATGGTAGGATTTTCTTGTTCAATTTGTATTATGCTCATTTAAGTTAAAAAAATTTATTCGTGAATATTAAATGAACTTGTTTATAAATATATATAAACGAACATATTTATGAATAATAAATAAATCACAACCAAATAAATTTAAATAAATAAACCCTAAATGAATATAAATATACCTTAAAATAGAATTAAGATAAAAGATAAAAATATAAATTTGTTATTATTATTGCTAAATAATAAATAAACTTTAAACGAATATAAATGAACCTTAAATGAACGAGTTTTAAATGATCCTTAAATGAGTTTGTTTGGTAATATTAACATATTAAATAGACCTTTGTTTGTATTCGATTTGTTTAATAAACGAATATAAAAATACTATTCAAAATCATTTGTTAAGCTTAATAAATGAATATAAATGAATAAATTTGTTAATTTTAATAAATAAATATAAATGAATAAAAACTGAATATATTCACAAATAATTTATCAAAAAGTCTGTTTGTTTACACTTTTAGCTAAGACACTTGCCTAACAAGGCCGATCGCTTAACAACTCAAGCAAATGTCTCATCAATGAGTCAGTTCACAACATGCTACCGACAATTTGGACATTAATTGCCAACAACCTACAACATACATGGACTTTCCATCAACTATCAACTACTCACGTCACATTACTTTGCATGTATCGTATATAAGGCGAAAAAAGAATCTAGGCATGCTAATGTGAACCTTATTCTCAAAGCTTTTGTTAGAACAAAAATTTTAAAATCTTGAATTACTATTTTTGGTAAATTTAAAATTTTGAGGATAGGTTCTAAGGCATGTAATGATGCCACTTTCCTTAAAGTTTTATTCGTTCCCATTGTATTATTTACTAATATATGCCAAAAGGTTGTAGGT